CAAACCACCATTTCAGAGCTAGTTCTGATCCAAAAGAGGGATTTGGAGAAAATAATCATTTTTGCGATACTTTCACAACAGCCTCTTTCATTGGCTTGTAGTTTGGGCGGGTCTCTTTTTAATCGGGAAAAATGAGCATGAGCAATCAGGTTTACGCCTGGAGATATGCAAAGGTTAGGTGATTACTGGCTTGATGCTGTTATTGCAGCGTTAGTCGAACACAGTGTTTTTCAACCCCTGTGCCGCGGCACACCAGTGTGCCGCAAGACATTGTCAGGGGTGCCGCGGGAAAATATTCAATTTGTATGCCTATGCAGTCTATTGCCCAGAAATTAATCGTGTAGTACCCTCCCATACCGCTAGGGAGAAGCAACAGCTAGCCAATTGCCTTGTGTTTAGACGAGAGACAAGCAAATTTGTGATGCATGAATGCAGGACGACGGTGAAACAATAAATATGAAAGATGAGAAAATACTTTTTTCTTTGTGTTCATTTGATTCCAATTCAAGCTGTTATAACATATTTAAGCGTTTTCATCGATATGGCGCACCGCATTATAAAGCGCATGGAATAGAGGCTACAATAGTGGCTGCGGTTGCGTTCTGCATCCAGCAGATGGAGCTTTGCCAAAAGGAATACAATACAATACAACTTTATTTATATAGATCTTTCACAACCGCTGTAGCTATAACAAAGCGCTTTACTGAATATTTAAAATACTATGTCCAAGAAATCAGAATATTGAGTTTGTTTTTTTCACATTTTTAGCTAGTGGTGTGCCGCAAGATTTTAACAATGAAAGAAGTGTGTCTTGGCCCAAAAAAGTTTGAAAAACACTGGTCTAGCATATGGTGGCTTCTTTTCTACCTGTCTGGGTAAATGTTTTGGACATGAGGTTGGTTCTTGTCTTACAAATTAGGGTTCTGTCATCATCATCGAAACAGAACTCCCTGATGTCATGTCCGATGGCGCTTCTTGCTAGATTTGAACAAAGCCAACGTGCCTTTGCTTTACAATGCGCTCCCAGCACTGATGACATGGCTCGCACTTGAGGGAAATAGTGTGACAAGCCTGTGTGTGTGTGTGTGTGTGTTGGTTCTTGTCTTACAAATTAGGGTTCTGTCATCATCATCGAAACAGAACTCCCTGATGTCATGTCCGATGGCGCTTCTTGCTAGATTTGAACAAAGCCAACGTGCCTTTGCTTTACAATGCGCTCCCAGCACTGATGACATGGCTCGCACTTGAGGGAAATAGTGTGACAAGCCTGTGTGTGTGTGTGTGTGTGAGTGTGTGTGTTTAATCCAGCATATGTTATGGTGAGGCGAATGCACTCTGAGTCTCAGTAATCAGTGATTTGTGATTTCACTGTCTGCCAGCCGACAACTCACCAGCCATCCATTCAAGCCAAACTGATCTCCGCTCTTTCGTCTTTGAAATGTGAAATATCCGTCAGTGTGTTCCAACCTTCACCTTGCCTTGAATTCTTTCTGGATTGTGTCACCGTGTGTTGATTTGCAGCCTATTTCACCGAGGTCTCATTCCACTTGATTAAACTTGACTTCTCGTCTACGATGTGAACGTGTGTGAGGTTGAATCAAGTCCTGTGCTCACGAGTACAGCAGTGATGCCTCCCCAAGGTGTGATGTTGCTCAAAACTTGCCGCTGCTATTTTTAGCCCCCACCCCTCCCAATCCATTTACCCTTCCTTCCCAGCTCAACCCGTTTTGGTTGCTAGGCTGGGCGCTGTGGCGCTCCCTGCGGGAAAATGTGAAAATGAAGCAACAAAATAGTGAAGCAGGGATCCGGAGGCACTGAGGATGCTTTGTTTGCCCTCAATGATGACACTGGCACTCGAAAGGTTAGAAAAATGTTCCTTTTTAAATGTCACATCTACAAGCTTACTTTTAAAGCCCATAGCCAAGTTTTCACCAAGTTCTAAAGTTCAGTTCACCCTGGTAACATTGGAAGAGTATACTATGTATTGGCATGGCGGGATTTGGCTTTTTTTTGGGGGGTTGAGGGGGTGACTTCTTGATGTTTGCTTCGCGATGAGCAAAAATGTGGCTTTTGTGGAAGTGACGACTGTACAAACCAATTGCTGGACCGTATCTAGCCAGTGTCCCCCTGCCAGAAAATAGTCATGGTTACTTTTGTTATTCACTTTAACAATGCACGCCCAATCAAACAGAATTGATGAGGCTGTAACAGTTTAAAAACACGACGACGCGGATTGTGCCAAGTCTCAATGTTGTACTTTTATCATGAAAATGTAGAACAAAACAAAGGTTATTATTTTGGACAGTTTAAAAAAAAATCTGATGAAACCAGAGAAAGAATCCGACTGGATTTGAACTCAGTTAATTCTATTTTGGTTTTGTTTGTATCTGTCATGTGACAGGTATGCAGCATCCTACTACTAAAGCCAATCATGCAGATAACTCTCGGGAAGTTGCTGTGACCATGATGTCATGATTCAGTTGACTGGTAGTGTTGCAGCAGATCCAATTAAAAGTCTCCTTCTTGTCGTGAGCGTCCACAATAGGACCTCTCTCTCCCTCCAGCGTGGGATCGAAGTCGGTATTTTATGTAAGTGAACCGAAGACACAGTGAAATCAACAGACGAGCGAGACGGCCTTAAAATGTTCTGCATCGCAGTCTGAGTTCATTCCTTGACTCTGCTGCAAGCAAATGAGGCTGAGCAGAGGGGAAATCCTCTCTTGTGTGTAGATTATCACACGCAGAGGTTTAAGGGGCTTTAAATCCTGACTTGTGCATACACATCACACAGTATTTGGGCTGTGTCACCCCCCGCCCCC